CCGTTTAATGTTGGAGCAGAAGTTGTGTAAAAGGCAGAATGGGAACGCTGGAGGACAGTTTTCCGCTCCAGTATGAAACTCATCCAGTCAACTGTGTCACGGCTGCATACCAGAGATTCCCAACGCTTCCTCCTCCTTGTTACTTCCACAAAAGAGCGAGCGGGGTAATCACAGTTGAACTGCGAGGGCACTTGAGCAGGAAGACCTCCACAGCACAGAACATCTGTGTCCATACAAAACAGGACGGAAGTGATGTCTTTACCACACAAGAACTCTTTTATAGTGCAGAGAATGAAGCCAGCAAAGCATTGACCTCAACAGATCCGCAGCCCGTTCTGAAGATTTTCAGTGTGCCTCACATTTGGGTTCTGATTATGAAGTTTTCTTGTGGATCCTTGTGACATTTACTTGAGTGGAGTTTGCGTTTATATTTGAGAAATCAATCCAAAAAGTCCATTTCTCACTGTACAAAGATTCTTTAAAAATAATTTTATTTTACCTAGTTCATATATTCCATCCCTTTTACTGAATCTAGCATGTGTACAAATCATTCATGCATTATAAACACAACCCTTTCACCACTATAATGACCAAAAATATCTTTATTGTATCCGTAAGAACCGAAAAACACAAATGCAAAAGCATATGTTGCACTATTTGTGCGCTATTCTCCTTTTTTTTAGATTGTGGTGAATATTAAAAAGTCAAGGAACTTAAAGGAGTAGTTCACTTTAAAAAAAAAAAAACTTTTGCTGATAATTTACTCACCCCCATGTCATCCAAGATGTCCATGTCTTTCTTTCTTCAGTCGAAAAGAAATGAAGGTTTTTGAAGGAAACATTCCAGGATTTTTCTCCATATAATGGACTTCAATGGGGTCCAAACGGTTCAAGGTCCAAAAGACAGTTTCAGTGCAAACATCTCAGATGTGCCGTTCACAATATAAGGCTCTTTCCCAGCCATTAATGCTTGGATAACACGCATACGTCTCCTTCCATCAATAATAATAATGTCTAGTGTCGTGGCTCTGATATATGTAAACCTACCAACGTCCGTTGCCTTGATTTTTATCATGAGAGGAAAAAAATCACGTTTTAGTCGCATAACATCGGTTAATGGAAACGCCGTCATTTCGCAATCGTAATGACAGATTTTTTACCGTAGAAATTAGAGCCAGACCGATATATCGGCCGGCCGATATTAGGCATTTTCCAAAATATCGGTATCGTCAGTTATAATGGCCGATAAATGAATATTTAAAAAATGAAATAAAAATGGGTGAAACACGCTTCAATCATCTCTCCTTGGCCTGTTATATAGAAAATGTATGTTTTACAATTTGCAGTATGACGTTATCTATTGCTAAATTATGGCTCATCATAGACTAGCTAACCACAAAGCTACAGTAGCTAATGCCACTATCATCAGTGGAAGACCACTAACGTTAACATTAATGAGCTTGGAAACCACAATGAACTTTTTCTGCCTAAATAAAGTAACGATTACTGTATTTATAACTAGCATATCTCTAGTTACAGTCCCTGCATTGTAAAATGTAAGTTATACTTGCGAGGAGTGAACATTTAGACATAGAGAAAAAGTATCAGACGTATCTTGTGCAGAAAAGTTAGCTTTTCTTTTACACATGTGTGAAATCCAACAATATTTAATAAAAAAAAAATATCGGCCGATATATCGGAATATCGGATTTTAAAACCCAAAAATATCCTTCAAAATCCTTTATCGGTCGGGCTCTAATAGAAATAAATAATTCCTTGTGATCCTCTTGAAATTGCTGTAGACCTACTGTAGATGTTCAATGAAATGAGATCTGTCTGTCTGTCGTACATCTGCACATATCAAGCTCTCACGAAAGGGTTCGGCACATAGAAATGTTCAACACTCGCCCTTCGGCCTCTTGTGCCGCATTCACTTCCTTTAGATTCTCAAAGCGTCTTCTCCGTCAGCTTTGCTCCTAGGTCAGAGCTTCCGGCCCCTGTGGACCCACTTAATGCTGACAACCGCTTTCTGAAGTGGAAGAGACTGCACTGCAGATATGGATCACAGCGCTGCCAGATACTCATCCTAGTCCTGACAAACATGAGCAGTGTATGCTGAGGAGATTCAGAGACCCTGTACACTAGAGTTGGAGGGAGAAATCAATGCATTAAAACATAGGATTCTTAATAGCATATGCAAAACCAAACTTATTCTATTGGTGAATCAGAACAGACATGTTTTATGTTTATATGAAATGTGAGCATGAGCCATCTTAACTTGACAAAGATTTGCACCCATGCACTGCTGCAGATATGTTTTTAAAGTATCAAGAAATTTCCCAAAAAATTCCCAACAGGCTTCCTTTAGGTCCAGATTTATCAGAGCTACGACATTGCTTTCCTGTTTTGCATTTGTTTTAGCTTTTGTGTCTTGGAGATTAGACTTGAAATTACTCTTTTTAATATAGAACTTGTAAAAGCAAGCTAGTACCTTCTCTTTTGGACAGCATTAATTAATAGTGATTACTGAAATCAATGAATGATTGAATGAAAAAATGAATGATTTACTGAAATTAAAGGGTTTGTTCACCCCAAAATTTTAATTATCCCATAATTTACTTAGCCTCAAGCCATCCTAGGTGTCTATGACTTTCATCTTTCAGCCAAACAGAGTTATATTTGAAAAATATCCTGGTTCTTTCAAGCTTTATAATGGTAAAAGCTCATCAATACATCATAAAAGTAATCCATATGACTCCAGGGGTTTATAAAGGCCTTCTGAAGTGACGCGATGTGTTTTTGTAATAAAAATATCCATATTTATAACTTCTGAAGCGAAGCAATGCGTTTTTGTAAGACAAATATCTTATCAATGATGCTGGCCTTACAATTATTTTCTTTTTTTCTTGCCAAATACATCACTACAAATGTAAATAGCCCTAGACTGGAAGCATTTGTACATTTCAACACTGAGATTGCATTAAGAAAACAACATAAAGGATATAAACATGGTAAAATGTGTTCAAAGTAGCTGAGAGTACAACACCAATTGCTGAAACCAATAGCAACGTTTAGTTTAAAACTTTGAATAGCATTAAAACATCCACATACAGGTTTGAAACAACATGAGCGTGACTAAATAATGAAATAATTTTCATTTAAGGATGGTGTTTTTATGTAAAACACTGTATATGCAAACCTAAATTACAGGTTTTTTAACTTCCTCAGTCTTTATAATGAGTTCTGCAGTGTGGAGAAGGTTTGGGCGGCTCTTCGACAGTCTTGTTCAAGTCGGGTGACCAGACGTCCCGGTTTTCTTCACAAGGCGTGTCCCAAAGTCCATACCCTGGGAATCCAGAGTTCTCGCAAGAGCACAATTAAATGTGCTCAGCGAGTCACTCTGGCATTGAGTAATAATGCTCATTAATGCCCACGTAGCTGAGCTGCACCAATCACATCGGTGTATTTGATATAGGCGAGCCAAACAGATGACGACAGCGCTGTGACATTGAAGTCATTAGTAAACATTGCAAGATGGCCATGGATGAACACCAGTTGTTTGAAATGGCTTTGGCCGCTACAATGAACGAGTTAGACTTGGAAGACGGCGTTCGATACGTTGCCGAAGAGTCTAGTCTACCAGTTAGCTCCACTGGTAGCGAAGCATATGAGGTGTATTGTTGTTATTGGTCGTAGTGTTATCCAATGGCGTGCTGGGAGATTTTCAAATGCATGCTTGGTGCCGCCCCTCGAGTTGGGCGATGTTCATTATCTCAATGCCAGACCCTTAATCTTTCGGATTTGGGTCTGGATTTCCAGGCTACAAAGCCCCAACAATTCACTAATGCCGCCTTCACACTGGCAGTTTAAATCAGCTCCGTAATACGCAATACGTTCCCAACGGACGTCGTACTACACAGTGAAAAGCGTCGGACGCGGGTAGAACAAAAATGGCGGAGAGATTAAAGGTTGATTCTGTCAGTTCTGTATGATCTCTCTGATGAGGGTTATGCTGCGTGAGGAAAGTTGCTCAGGACGTTGACATGTCAGGTCGGCTAAAAAATTTGATATAGTGGTCAATAGTTCAATGTCTACCTTCTATTTAATTGTATTAACTGCCCTTATAAACGTTAGAAAGTCATGAAAATAAAAAATGACATGACAATTTATCGTTATAAAATCATTATTTATTTTATTAAAAGTTAATAATTCAGGTTTGTTTATCAGTACCATAGCAACGCTCAACTTCCGCTGGAATTGTCGGATAGGAACCGTCCGTAGCTTTTCCGCACGAATCTCCATAGGAAATTAATGACTTCCGGTCGTTTCGCAGCCGCATCGGAGCTGATTTCAACTGCCAGTGTGAAGGCGGCGTAACAAATGTAAACGTGTGCCTTGTTTATGAGTTGAACTCATGGGAGAGAAATTGCATTTTAACATCACAATTACACATTTCACCTGTTTTTCATTGTTTTGCATTTGATTCTGTTCAAAATTTTGGGAAATGCTACTAGTCAGTAGTCGAGTCAAGTCGCCTTTATTTCTATAGCACCTTTTACAATACAGATTGTTTCAAAGCAGCTTTACAGTGATAACTGGAAAATAATGCAACAATGTTTGTTTCTAGAAGAAAATAGCGTCACAGTCCAGCTTCACTTTTCAAAAAACTTCTGCTGATAATTTACTCACCCCCATGTCATCCAAGAAGTCTGTGTCTTTCTTTCTTTAGTCGAAAAGAAATTAAGGTTTTTGATGAAAACATTCCAGGATTTTTCTCCATATAATGGACTTCAATGGGGACCAAATGGTTCAAGGTCCTCTTCAAAGGGCTTTAAATGACACCAGACGATGAATAAGGGTCTTATTTAGCGAAACGATCGCTCATTTAAAAAAAACAACAACAAATTTTACGTTTTATAAGCTCAAATGCTCGCCTTGCTATGTTCTGTGTTCTGGTTTCACTCTGACTTTAGCTTTGTTTTGTGTCCCCTCCCCCACCAGCCCCCTGTTGGCCCCGCCTCCCACCCGATGGCTCCGCCCAGTCCCGGGACCAACAGCAGCACCAATCACAGCAGCAGCAGCAGCACGGCCGGCTGGGAACAGCTCAGTAAAACTAACCTCTACATTCGTGGGTTACCGCCAAACACCACCGACCATGACCTGGTCAAGCTCTGCCAGCCGTGAGTACCGCCCTAACTTTCATTTCTGGAGATATTACCTGCAAAACGGAGCCTGGCTAACGTCTTATTGAGATTGAGATGTGGTGCGGGAACCACATGTTCATTTTCTCGTATTTGAGGCGTGGTTTACGAATGCCCAGAGCCATATTATTGGGTGCTACGAATGTCTATCAAATGCGCCTGTATGTAGTGTATAGTCAATCGTTTCAATTATACCAGATGACGTATGTAGAGCGACAGAAATTAGACGAGGAAGAAGACGATGGGTCAGAGATTTATGTGTACACGATGGCGTATGTATCTTAAGGCTGCATCGAAAGGTAACTTCGCGTCTGCTGCCATGTTTGCTCCATAGGTATAAACAAACTGCTTCGGTGTGTCGGATAGACGTCATCATCGTCTTGCTGCTCCCTCCCCGTTTTGTGATTGGTCCCCTCGCTGAGGCGAAAATTTGGTATCCAGACTGCAAGCAGTGTGAATACAATCATGCTGTGCAAAGGGAGAATGGGGAAACCCAGGCTATGCAAAACGCAGACAAGCGTCAGGATTAAGGGCTGCACTGTTATGGTAACTGGATTAATAATCATGATTATTGTCATTTTAGAAATGTATTCTACTTAAAGGGATGATTCACCCAAAAATTAAAATCACCCCATGATTTACTCACTCTCAAGCCATCCTAAGTGTGTCTGCCATTCTTCTTTCAGACAAATACAATTGGAGTTAAAGGTGTAGATCAATTTAAAAAAAAAAAACTTTTGCTGATAATTTACTCACCCCCATGTCATCCAAGATGTCCATGTCTTTCTTTCTTCAGTCGAAAAGAAATTAAGGTTTTTAATGAAAATATTTCGGAATTTTTCTCCATATAATGGACTTCAATGGGGTCCAAACGGTTCAAGGTCCAAAAGACAGTTTCAGTGCAAACTACAAACTGTTCAAAGGTCTTTAAACGATTCCAGACGATGAATAAGGGTCTTATCAAGCGAAACGATCGCTCATTTAAAAAATATATAACAAAGTTTAGGTTTTATAAGCTCAAATGCTCGCCTTGCTCTGTTCTGTGTGACTCTCCTGTTCGAACTCGTTCATCAAAATGAACTAATCTTTTTCCGAGTCAGTTTGTTAATTTCGTTCTTTGAATGAACCAAATGACTCGAAAAAAGATTTGTTCATTTTGATGAACGAATTCGAACAGGTGAGTCACGAACGCGCATCACGACCAGAGCTTATAAAACTCGTTTTTTTTAAATTACTGTTCATTTCACTTGATAAGACACTTATTCATCATCTGGAATCGTTTAAAGCCCTTTGAACAGTTTGCCGTTTGCACTGAAACTGTCTTTTGGATCTTGAACCGTTTGGACCCCATTGAAGTCCATTATATGGAGAAAATCCTGGAATGTTTTCATCAAAAACCTTAATTTCTTTTCGACTGAAGAAAGAAAGACATGGACATCTTGGATGACATGGGGGTGAGTAAATTATCAGCAAAAGCCTTTTTAAAAGTGAACTACTCCTTTAAGCTTATCTGATCATACAGCCCTCGCTTAAGAGTACCGAAAGCTTTAATGATTTAGGAAAGCACTTTGAGAGTTGTTTTATTTGCTGTAGTAGAAGATAAGATGAACAGTGTGGCCTCCAGCGCCCCAGTTTGACCGTATGTGTCTCGTTAAGCCCAGTTTCACGGCTCCTCCAAATGAAGATCGATTACTGTGGCCGATGAATCAACAATCCAATCGCTGCTTTACAGGGTCAGATTTGTAGCCCATTCCCAGTTTGTTTTTGAAACAATATGCTTTTGCTTGATGAATGAATGCTTCGATGTGGTCGAATGGCTCTGAGGTCAGTTTATTGATCAGAGATTGTCCGTTCATAAATTAGGGTGTTATTGAGAGACGTTCAGAGATCTGAGGACTGTTTCAAACTCGATGCATCTTTGGCACGATTTTGAATATCACAAAAAAAAATATTTTGACTCAGTTTTTGTGGGTTTTAAAATAAAAAGAGACAATTTGTGGCTACAGTGAGACAGATGGAGCAACATTTTAATTGCAAAAGCAGAATTATGGAGTTTGTGTTTGTTATTAAAGCACTGATGTGAATGATTCCTGAATATTACTTGACAATTAAATCATCTTTATGAAGTGGGACTATGTTTCTACTAATTATTGGTGTAATATGTGAACAGTCTCTTTCTGGTATTCTTGCACTTAAGTCACTGCCATTAGCTATGTGTGTTTGACATTGACAAGATTGGATTCAACTTAACGCGGGCAAGATAAATAAATGATTCTCTCACACTATTATAAAGTCTTATATCTTCTTTTGAACCTGTGTATTATTTTCTAAGGATGTGCAATGTATCAGAATCATATTGATTAGCGGCTAATATTCAAGAATAGTTTTAAAAAGTATCTATATTCTACATATATTGGATGTTTTATTGTGCATTTCACCTATTTTTACATGTAGATCACATGCAATCATCCAATATTCCCTTCAGATTATGTTTAAGTTTCTGAAAACGATACCATTATCGTCTGTGCAAACTACAATTTGTTGTTAATTTGTTGATGTCATATGTATTTCACATTCAGTCTAATAGGAGGCGTGCATAGTGTTTCTTTACAAAGTGACATCGCCAACTACTGTCCTAGAAGCATAATGCAGCGGTTTTAGCTTTCGTTTTAGTTTTCGCGAGTTTTGACAACGTTGTGGTTTGTACGTGAAGAACTTTTAGTACATCGTTGTCATGTAAATGCACCCTTAATTGAAAAACATTGAATAAAACTGGAAAACATTAAATAATTGAATAAAACTGTTAAATGTAATTTCTATCAAATCTAAAAAGTAAACATTTGTGATTCATGGATTCACTTCATCAATTGTAGCAAAACAATTGATTTTCAGTGTGTTATTTAATTGATTTAAATCTATTTATAAGTTAAATTTATGGTCCTTTGATCAATTTCTGGCCATAAAATTAAATCAAAATTAAATCAATTATCGACGAATTATCGACTGGCCAGAATTTGAATATTTTTGCATATCTAGTATTATTGAATTTCTATTTCTTGTGTTTTAATGCTTTTTTTTATGTTTATGCACTAAATAATTATGCCATAAATTCTGTCGATTAACGATGTTGGATAAAGAAAGAGTCATTGCTCGGCTCTGGGGTCTTAGTATTATAATCTCACACAGACTGGCACTGCGGCCCAATGAACTCTCATATTTCGGTCACTCTGTGTCAAGGGCTGGAGGGTGACTTTCCCCTCTAAGAGGTCTGGGATGAATGCCATCAATAAAATATGAGGCATATGCTGTGTCGCTTTGAGTCTATTGGATGACTTGATGTGAGTTTCGAGCAGAATCACAGGACCGGTCCTCAGAGGACTCCTGTGAGGAAGAAGACTGACAGATAGACCATACTGCATTGCTGCAGTGTTGTTGGTGCGTCTAAGTTATGGTGAGTGGGATGACCAAATGGTAATTATATATCAGCTAGTCATTTTTGCTGAGCATTCAAAACAAAAATATATTAAATAACCAATGTTTGGGAAGGATAGTCAATTGAATTAAATCATTGCATTTATTGAGTTTTGTTAGGATGAAGTTGGGCCAGACATTGGCATGGGATTGGAGCAAAAATGCAAACAAAAAGGCCACCAATTTCAAGATAAGGGGACAAAAAAAGTTGATGCTAATAAAATTTTATTGGTAACAATCTTTAAGTCATTGGTTAAATTTAAGTATTTGGGTTGTAAATTGATGTTTTAACCCAACTTTGGGTCAAATATGGACAAACCTAGCCATTGGGTTAAATTTTTTAATTACATTTCTAACCCAACGTTTGGGTTTGTCCATATTTGACCCAAATTTGTGTTAAAACAACCCAGCATTTTTAGAGTGTAGATACATTTAATGAGCTAATTCCCTTACAAAGGTCAAAAAAGGCCCTTAACTCTACACTGTAAAAAAATATTGTTGGTTTAACTTAAAAAAGTGAGTAATTGGGTTGCCTTAAAATTTTAAGTTCATTGAACTGGAAAAAGTAAGTTAATACAATGAAGGAGAATGATTTAATCATCAGAAACTCAAAATTATATGTTTTCTGAACTAAATAAATTATTTAAGTTGATTTGACAAAAGAAAAAATGTTGTGATTACTACACTATAAAAAAAATATTGTTGGTTTAACTTAAAAAAGTAAGTAACCTGGGTTGCCTTAAAATTTTAAGTTGATTGAACTGGAAAAAAGTGAGTTAATACAATGAAGGAGATTAATTTAATCATCAGAAACTGAAAATAATAAGTTGTCTCAACTAAATGAATTATTATAAAGTTGATTTGACAAAAAGAAAATATGTTGTGATAACATATCTTGAAAATATTTTTTACAGTGTAGTCGGCGCATATTGCACCTCAATGGAAAAGTTTATTCCTCACCCTGCTTTACTTTATAAAACATTTGAGTTGAGAAAAATAAATGCTTAATACTGTAAAATCATATTATAGAACATTAAAAACGTATTCATGTGGCTTCTATATTAATGCGGCACGTTCCAACCACACTTGGGTGACCCAAAGTTGGGAAAAATATGGACAAACCCAAATGTTGGGTTAAAAATGTCATTTCAAATTTGAACCCAACTTCAACTTTCGATTTCAATTGTAAATTTTTTAACTGCATTTTTTAACCCAACATTTGGGTTGAAACAATCTCTAACCGTTTGATTTATTTAGGACACATCCCGCTGTGAATTTCTGCAGTACTCTGTGTTTGTTCTTAGCTGTCACATGTGAATCAGTCCTGTCCACTGATGGTGTGTAGGGTGTAGAGAAACGTGTACTGTTTGCTCCAACCCCAAGAACAAACATGTTTAGAGGTGTTTAGTTTCAAAGGAGCACGAGGTTTGTTTCGCTGCATCACGAGCAGAAGCAGAGCACAGAATGATCCTGTTACTGGATCTCAGATGGTGACTGGATGAAAGACC